ATACACCCGACATTCACGATGACTGAATGCCCCAATGGAATAATGGAAGGGATGGGAAAGAATTCGATAGGCTGCAACCCGCCTAACTCGAACGACTTGGAAGCGGACCCGACTATGGGTGCACCCTTTGACATCATCACTCCGAAGGACACGGCCGAAGTTCACAGCTTTATGAATGAACATGGGGTTCTCGACACCTTCTCGCAACTAGTGGAACTAGCTTCTGGCGAATCATCGTCCACGGGAGACCAGTCCTTCCTTTCCGATCTTGACAGAACTGGATACTCCACGAACGCGGATACAAGCATAGTCGGCTGTGGTGGCCCCATCATATCACCATTCGAACATTGCCGCCAATCAGGAGAAGACGTGCAGAACACGCTATCTATCGATCAACAAGTATACCCGAATGACCTCATGGAGCTAAATCTCAGCTCCACGGTCGAAGACTTGAGCATGGCTATTTGCCGAAGAATGCCGTCTAATAACCCGGATGTGGACGACCAAGCCACTTCATTTCTACTCGACAATACCCCAAGTGGTGTTAAAATCAGAGTTGAGCAATTCTTCGAAATGTTCGTTCTGGATGTAAGTTCGCATCTCTTGCAGTGATTGGTACCCGCTAATCCACCTAGGACGTGCTCAATCTCAAATATCTCGACTCGAACGACGAGTGGAGCCCACACACGGTCCAGATCGTGACAGCCTTGATGCCATTTGTGCTTCCAACGTGCGACCAAGGACCAAAGCGAAAGCGTGGCAGCAATGATGACGTTACGTCCCGACCTTCGAAGAAGAGAGACAAGAAGTCAATTGAATGGTGGAGAAGGTGGTCGAAGCTGACGCGCGAAGACATCGCACTCGACTCCGAGCAAGTAGCTGTTGTGAACATGGGTCTAGGCGTTATGCGAGACACCGGCGCTCTGGGTAGGCGAAACAAGGGCACTACCTTTATGGATGTTTACGCCGCGCATGTTGGCAATATGCTCGCTACAGAGCGTGTTACTGCGCTGACCAGCGTCCAATATGTGGTATACGCCATCTTTTTCCACATAGCCTCTACGATGGACCCTGCCAACTGGGTAGCGAAGGGTAACGCTGGTCAAGTAAGGGGGAAGTTCTGTCCCTCTGCGGTACGACGCTTGTTCTCCCATTGTGGCGGTTATGTGCCTGGTGGTATGACGCCGGCTGTTTTCGAAGAGAAGTTACGCGGTTGGCAAGATCATGGGAGAAAGTACGAGTTCATCGGTGTGCACCTTGGCCTTGGAAGCATTGTGCATCTGGGATCGGTATTACACCACACGCAGCTCAAGACGATGACGAAGGGTGGTGAGCAAGCAGTTGATGGTATCAAATCGAGCGAGGTGGCCTTCCGTCATCTGCGGAAACTGGGATTACCGGAACTAGCGAAACAGTCAGGTGCTGATGCGCTGATGCATGATCTCCTCTGGGAGATCTTTGGGAGCTTCCTCGACTTCCCGAAGCGGGTGGGTGATTCGCAGTTTCCCGCATTCGTCGAACACGCCCCAGCGCAGCTAAGTGCAAGCATCATCAGTGACAGCGGCAGCGATGATGGCCAATGTGATTGAGTGTCGGCGATCAAAGTGCGCGGAGAGAATTCTTGGGCGATGTTATAAGGGCATGAGGGGTATGTCTACGAGGGAGCGAAAAGACGGAGGGGCGAGAAGACCGTCGGCAGTATTGAAGTACTCAAAACACCAAGTCGTGGCACCTAGAGGCGAAGATGTCTTTCCTCCCCAGGACCCTGAGGCATTGTTTCGGTACTGTGGAGAATGTTCTCGACGTCCTCGAAACGTTCACTTGTGTGTCCAAGCAAGCGTCATAAACGCCAGCAAACTTCTCTTTGTTCACGACCCCATATTCATCGCCTGAAAGTCGCATTTTTCCCGGCCATACTTCCACTTCTTCTTTCAACTCCCCTGAAAAATAGCAACTTTCGTCAATAAAAGAAGCCAGCCAATAGGACTTAGCAGACATCTGTCTAGCATGTTGGCATCCATACTTGGAAATGTCGGGAGCAAGGCCGCCATAGGCTCGGCCGTAGCTATAGCCGGAGGTTGGTGGGCGTATACGTCATCTGGCCGTCTTCGGGGATTCCTACGGGCCCTCTTACGAACGCGCTACGCCAAACTCGCAGTTATCGTGGTGATTGTTCTAGTCGTGTTATGCTGCTCGGCTGATCCAGTCTCGAACCGCACCACGTCGCCGTCTCAGCCACGCGCCCCAATCAATCTGCATGATCGGTATCCCCGGTACAGACCTTACTGGGTGCCAGAGAAGTATTCCGACGAACATGACGAACCTGACAAAACCAATGCGACCAATGCAACCAATGCAACCGTCAAACACAACGAGCGCGACGATACTGAAAGGGAGTAAATTGCGTAAACGTATGTTCCAACAGAAAAGGCAGGATGCGAGAAGAAAGTTAACAAGATGCGCGCCTGGTAGGAGGTTGCGCGATCTTACTCGGGCAGTAAGGGCATAAAGAGGAGATAGGAAACCACTGAAGCTCGTATGTAGTATAGCAGGTAGCAAAAATACAGTTCAGAAGCGTTTTTGCCCAGGTAATGTCGCGTATATTGCTGGAAAGAAGATATATGCGGAACGCAATCGTTGGCGAAGACTAATTCCTGCTTCACACGTAAGTTGATGTGCTGTGAACAAAATGAGCAGTAAGGCCTCTAGAATCTCGGCATCTATCGCCATGTTTGTCATCATAGAGACGAGCCTGGGCTGCACGTGTCTGTGTTGTAGCGTCATTCGTTGCCACCGTGGTCACGAAGATCGTCACAAACGAATCGCCATTCCTGCCATACGGAGGGGAGGTGGCGAGATAGACGTTTTTTTCGACGGGCGATTCCGTATGCGATCATTGGGTATTTTGTTCGTGGTTTGAGGGATGTGTGTCGAGAGCAAATTTGGAGGAAGCTGAGCTCGACGCCACCTGCAAGCTAAAGCTGTCTGGTTCGGGGATAGCGCAGGGGCTGCCCCTCGATATCACGTGTCCCCGGCGATTCTCGAGGTCCCGAGGTTTGTCCTCACCAACCTTAACACTACGCCCAACACCGCTCTCCGACCAGCCCCTTCCTAACGACAATATCACTGGCTTGAGTTCGCCATCAGCGATGACTCAAGTTCTTATGAAGTCTGCCATGTTTGACGTGGCAGAGGAGAGCGAGGTGGTTGTCTACTTTCGATGAGGGTCGCGTTCATCCAGATCGGCAAACTCTACGCCGCGCAAGCCATGCCTCTTAGGGGCACCGCGACCCTCGGCATCCAGATTCACTCGCTGCGCAATGAATGGTTGAGAACATTACGGATTCGACGAAGATGAACTTTCTCAGTCTTCCAGGATATCGCGCCCGAACGCCGTTGGTATCGCGATCCGCCTGCATGGACCAGTAGCTCCACGTCAACCTAGGAAAGTACTGAACAGGTCTGGAGCCTACATCGACGTTAGGCTACCTACTTTGCAGGTCTCTACGTTAATGTAGGCTGCAGACCTGTTCTGCTTTTTTCTTGTATGAGGTGGTTCCGCGGGAGACCTTGATGGCGCGACACCCGCGAATTGCAACGCCGTCTTGAGTTGCAGGCCGCGCCAACGACCGATGTCGCTGAAGAACACAAGTCTTGCCACCACTGCGCATTAAATTTAGGCACAATGTCAGTTGAACTGACGCTTATCGCTCAAATTAAACTTCATCGTTTCACAATACGAACATCGCGGCTTCCGAATACATGCGCCACTATCGAGCCTACCAGAAAATAACTACTACCTAAGAGGTTTTTCCAGCTGACTTTTCTACTGCCCGAATCTCACTCTCAGTCTCTGCCTATCCACGTCAAACCTTGTCTTCCACCGTAACCGCTACCATATTCTCCTACTCCAGGTGGCATCGGCGGCAAAGAGCCTCCCATGCCGAGCCAGCCTACCGAACCCTCTTGGAACCACATGAACTGCCTTGCCAACTTTTTTCCATAGGCCCTCTTCTCCTCGTCCGTCATGGCATCCGCAGCGTCATGCAGTCGTTCGAACAACTCTTCGATATATACTGCGCGAGCAACCTCCGACATACCCGACATCCCTTCGCTACGCTCTCGTACAAAGATGACACCGAATCTTGCCAGCTCACCGCGCAACCTGGTGATCCAAGTCTCACGGTCAGAGGGCTTCATGTCCGCTGGTATGGGCACGCCACGGAGGTACCAGTGAGGACAATTGAACGAGGCGCCATTACGGCCGAAGAAGTAGCCAAGAACGAGGACTAGGCCGAAGAGTAGGGTGTTTTGGATGCCAAGGTAGAGACCGACAGTAGTCGCCAGAAGACTGAACAAGCCAAAGAGAGTATTGGGGTGCATGAGCCACCACAGGCTATCGATAAGGCGGAGATAATCCATGGCTGAAGTCAAGTCTGAATGGATGACCAAGGACGCGGGACGGAGGCTTCGACGTATAAGAGGCAGGATTCTGCAACCGGAGGTGTGAAATTCCGTTCAGAGATCGTTCGCAAGGTAGCAGGGTTGATGCCGTCCTAGTTCAAGAGAAACAACCATGCTTTATGTTCTTGTAGGTCGTGTAGAAAGCGCCCACGATGGAAGCAGTGGAGCTCTCGGACGACGCTCACAGCAAAGAAAAATTCGCATCCGGCAAAATCGACGAGGCCGCGAGCCTTTATGTTTCACATTTACGTCGCAGCGAAGCAAATTTTCTAATGTCACGCGTGCCTCTCAGACGACCCTTCTGCTTTCATTCAGTGCGACAACATGTAATGCGTAACTACACGATACTTGAAGCTTTGTTTGACAGACCAAGCTCCTGCTTTCTTTCAGCGTGACTATATATTCCCGGGTCGAGGCACCCACGTCGCACTAATCCAATATTCTATTTCGTGATCATCAACTATACCACATCCATCACATTAGTCTGAAACAAAGATACCATCCCTTTCGTTGCGCGCACCGCCTCCACCAAAAATATGGCATCATCAGGTTCCAAATCTTTCCAGGACCTCCAAAAGGAATTCCTGGAAAGCGAAGCCAGACGTCCCGCGAACGGCACCCTTCATTATTATCGGCAACAAAACCAAGCCATCACTACACGCCTGAGCCAGGCTCTCGACAAGTTGAGCGAGTACGACGAGCGCATTAAGGAGGGCCAAGCCAAAGAGCTCGAGCTCATTGATGCCAACGGGCGCATCCAGTTGCTGGAAGAAAACTTCAAAGAGGTCATTCGTCACATCGATCCGATGGTCAGGTGGGAGTCGATGAATAAGGCTGTGCAGGACTTCGTAACTGGGGTTCTTCGCGACAACCCGTCAGCCGACGACGGACACGCAGCCGCGAGTCGTCGTGATCCAGATCTGGGACGATTCGTCCGCGTCATGTTGACCAAGACTTCGGAATACGAGCATCTTCTTGAACAACAAAATGTCGAGATCGCGAATTTGAAGCTGCAGCACGGTCGAGTCAAGCCCAGGACCACGGAAATCATCGAAACCAGGGACTACAAAGACGCATTTGATCGAATGCACAACATGGGCTTCGTGATGCAATCTGTATTCGAGTACGCCTACAAGGGCTTCCACCACCGAGAAAACGTCAGTCCGGAGGAAGAAAACTACATGAAATATCTCTGCACACTGTACGCGCGTATCGCACAGGTCATAGAGTTGGGCTGGAAAGATGACAAAAAGAAGAACCTGGGAGAACGCCCTTTGCGATCCGACTTTCACACCAACCATATTGAGTTCAACGGAGAGGACGGTATGTATTTGACGACGGTGATCGGGGTAGCGCAGGAGGTAAAGGACGATGAAAGATGCGTAGACACTTGGAAGAACCCGCATGGTATCACGGCAGGTCTGGAGGAATTGATGAAGGCCGCGCAGCTGTAGGGCGACTTGAAGGAGGAGAAGACGAGGTCGTGCATGTGAGATGATCGCGGGATTGAGTCGTTGGAGGGACCGTTCGTAGTTGATCTGGAAGCCGTAGTTGAATGAGAAGAGCACTCGTGCTACTCCCATGCTCCAACCGAAAGTTGCTTCAACGCAAGGTACCAGTTGTCCGCTTGCGTCTTGGAGGCTGCCGTTATGTAGACCCTGTGAAAGGAGTCTTTAGCCGGCGATTTATGTCGTAAGGCCACAACGCAATCCGACTGCCTTGATACGAGCATGTCTTTCAACAATAGCTGTGAGGGTATAGTCTTCCCTCGTTCGTCATCATCCTCCACTCGCAAGACCAGTCGCTGGTGTGATGCGTCCAGTGAGGCGAGCACTTGAATCGATAGAGCGCGGTCGACAACCGGTGACTTCGAAGCATACAAGCGATGATGAGATGGCGATGCCGATAGTATCGGAAGAAGAGTCTTTGGGTCGGTATGACGTTCCATCAGGTCAACTGGGCGCGGCAACTCTGCGCAGGCCTGCCAGATTATCGATTGACTGCGAGCTATAGGTAGCCAGTCTGGTGGATCGTCTAATATCTGCCTGTGCGAAGAGGGTTTCAGTGTGATGGTAGGATCGATTGCTTGAACGGCTAATGGTGGTATGGCTTCCTTCAAGTGCTTTAGAAATCCAGCGGTTGTTTGCGCGGTCATAATCACAACACGATGGCAGCAATAAGTGGGTGGTATGCAGATTTTATATGAAGTGTGAACTGTGAACTGTGTAGATAGCTCAACACTAGGCAGATGGCGGGAAGAAGCGTGACCAGTGTCGCCCTTCAACGTTGGGATGGTTTTGAGGCGGCGGAGGTAGCTGTGCGGTGTGAGCACGCTAAGCCGGTAGTGGCTAGACACCTGTAGGGACCAATACCGGCTGTGAGCGTCACGACACGTAACAAAGGCCCTCTCAATTGGATGCAAGACCAGCTACTTACAACGAGGAAACAGCTATTAAAGCGCTCTCGTTCCTGACCGTGATTATGGCATTTCCATGTGCTTTTCGACATGGCCCTCTCCCGAGCCGACGCGTTCAGAGTTGCCAGGAGGGCCACGCAGCTCACGTGTGACGCGATTGAAGATGAGCTCTGTCGACGCGACGTGCTTGGAAAAGATTTGCAAGATCAGTTGGAGGGTCTCGAAAGACGTAAAAAAGAGTTGGAACGTAGGGTTGAAGAGAGCAATGCACATATCATGAGACTGGAAGAGGACAACCGACAGCTAGGGCATGAGCTCGGCGAATTACCTATCCAACTCGACGCAGCCAGAAAAGACGCCACTACCGAGATGAACGAGTCTTTGAAGAAAGCCCGCCAGGCACTCTTCCGTCACGTCAATCCGGTGCTGCTTTACTGCCGCGTGCGGCCCAAATTGCCCGCCCAAGGAGTCGCCAGCAAAGCACCGCCGCAGCCCATCTCGAAATGGACGTGGAACGACTTCTCTATCATCAACGGAACCGGCGAAGCCTACACCTTCTGGCGTGTCTTTGGTCCCCATTGCCCTACTTCCAACGTCTTCGATGAACTCGAACCGATGATCCAGACCGCTTTACACGGACAGCACATCATGCTCATCACTTATGGCGAAACGCAATCTGGCAAAACCCACACTACCATAGAGCCCAACGCAGCTGATCCCTCACTCCTCGATCGCTTTGCTACTCTCGCTTTCCCCCAATTCCAGATCCATGTCTCTTTCGTGGAGGTGTGCTGCAACACGCCCCATGATCTACTGAAACGTGAGGAAGGCAAGCTTGTCGTAGGAAACAGCGAGTCCTCGCGGGCCGATATATTTCTGTATTCCAGCACGGGCCTCTACTTCCGCTACCAAGGAAAAGGCGGCGGGTACATGACACCCACGGTGTGCGACTCCTCCGAAGAACTCAAGAAGCTACGAAGTGAATCTATCCGGCGCCGCGCCAAACACCATGACAAACCTACGTCCTCTCGTGGCCCTTCCTGGCTCGAGCTTCGGGTACACGATCGCAACGACGGCACGCTTAGGGGCATCCTTACCATCGTCGACCTCATGGGCGCGGAAGACTCTGCCAACCAGCTGGGTAGACACAAGAAAGAAGCAGAGACGGGTCGAACGGTCAACTACAAGGTGTCAGAGTATCTCAAGAGTCTGCGCGACCAGCATCGAGTTGCCCGACCCTCCACACTACCTGACCGTACTCCCACACGGAGAAACAACGCTCATCGTGAGCATCCCGACAACTTCATGCGTATTCTGATCCCCAGTTTCGAGGGTCAAATACTCGACTCGCCAGACCTGCCGCGCGTCGCTGTTCTGGCGCATATATACGAAGCTGCAGAACATGAGAAGCAAAATCAGACCAGCATGGACGTGATGGAGGAATGGCGGACCAACCTGTTGGATGATAGGAGGAGAGGTGGAACGCATGAAGCATGCAACGAATGCGAAGCAAAAGATAGAGAGAATGCGCTTTTGAAGCAACAGATGTATGAGTTGGAAGTCGAAAGAGAATCTTGCAGCGAGCTGGAGGATGTGCCGCGCGATGTGAAGGAAGAGAAGTCTCTGAGGGAACGCTTCACCGAGCAAGCGAAGTAGATATGAGTCCATCGCCGCCTTTTCCGCATGTATGACAACATGAACCCCATGTCGTGTTCATGCTCCTTTGCAGCCGTCTGGTGTTGTAGTAGTCTGGAAATTCTCGACAGGAGGCCAGTCCTCAGATCATGTGATTCGATCGACGTTCGATGATTCACTTGCTCAAGGTGCACTAATGAGTCAGAATGTTCACCACCAAACTTCCTATGCCTACAACCTTATTTTGTATGTAAACAGTGATGAGAGCCCTGCAAGCACAGTGGAGAAGGGCGGTATCTACAAAAGCTAACGTAATGCTTCCAGCCAGAACTCAAGACAACATCTCTCGAATACACACAACCAACTTGATCGTACCAAGGACCAGAAAAGCACGATGAACCAAACAAACTATACATCCCTAGGGAGCCAGGTGCTCCACTACGCTCACGAGCAGGGCACGCAGTTCGCATTACTCATTGACATTCTTCTTTTGGTCAATATGCTATCTTATACTTTGCACCACACATCACGAACCCTCTCTTACTTCAGGATATCCCTACATGAATATCTCGTACAAACTGCTAGAGGCCTGAATGACTGGATCGATAAAAAGACAGGGCTAGACAAACCAGCGGAGGGTTATAAAGACTACTCGGGGATCGAAGGGTTGGCGCTGGACATCTGCAAGGGCGTGGAAGTTGTGGCGCACATGAGCAATTTTTGTTTTGTTGTTGCCGGTATTGCCTTGGGGTTTGGCATCGACGTCGACCGCGGTACTGTACGCATGTGTATACTGTGTAGCTGCATGGCTATTATGGTCTACGCAATGGTCGAAGCATCCGTATTGCGTCGTCTCAATCTCCCGGAAGAGATACGCATTGAAGGAAGTAGGATCGAGCGCTCCATGCTTTTGCCAGCGCTTCGGCTAGACGAGCATTCAACCTGTTCACAGGATGGTACTTCTTCCACCACGATCTCCAAATCACAAGCCGAGACGAAAGGGAAGACGGAAGCGCAATGGACACCTGTAGAAGCGGAATTCGGCACGGCTTGGGGTGGACGTCCTGGAGGATCGCAATGATTCAGAATCGGGCGTCACGTCAAGGAAAGTGCTGAAGTTTCTCTGATGCTCGGGTAACTGATCATGGGTCAGAACGATGACGGATAAACCGCGTAGTAGATCTACGCTATCTTACTCATCGGTAGCTCTTTATGATCTGTTACCGAGTTTGCCCGCTGTTGAGGCCATATATGACGATTGTCGTTCCGAATCTCCAGAAGGGTGTGATACCCCGTATCCTACTTTTGTTCAGCATTTTTAATTAGTATAGCGTCAAATCAAATTGCCTACTGCAATAGCTTTCCTTGATCGTAATCGTATGCCATGTGAGTTCTGGTCGTAATTGATCCGTCAGATATTGACGACCTCGGGATGTTAAAGGTTTGTCCAACTTTCCTGGGTTCAGTCATGTGCGCCGCACCATGCCCATGGTGGTGATGAGAATTTCGCAGTCGGCATTAACAGGTATGCCAGTGAATTTCCAGGCAGCAGTGTGCTGGAACAATGTGGGCCGTGGTCGCTTCCTTCGTCAGTAACTGGCGCGCGCAAGTCGCGTAAAAGTCTTGGCACGATCAGTCGAGCTTGTGCAACCTGAACCCCACCCTTCGCTCCCACCACGGTCGCATTGTGCAATCTCTACTGTCACAACTCTTTCGAGAACACTTACGATGCCCCCAAAGAAGAACGCTGGGCTTCAACGGCACACTGCCGATATTGATGTCACCGCCGTCCCGGCGCGAAGGCAGCGCGGGCGACCACGAAAGATCATGGAGGATGCGCCCATAGCTTCGCCCAGCTCTCATCTACCCAAGCGACGTGGGCGTCCGCCCAAAGTCATGTCAGTCGAGCAATCGCCTGCTGCAGTCCCTGCAGTCCTGGAGAAGCGTGATCGACCCCAGGAGAAGGCCCAAGACGACTCGTCAATTATCTTGTTAGGCTACTCCAGGCCACCGAATCCGCAGATGCAACCGGCAGAGAGCGCCCCAGAGAAACAAAGTAGAGGTTTACCAGTCATTCCAGCCCCCGCGGTTCCCAAGAAGCGAGGCCGACCGCCGAAAGTTGCGCCAGAATCGGAAACTTCACCAGCTGATTTGACTCCCCTGATACCGCGAAAACGAGGTCGTCCGCGGAAAGCCATCACCGAGAAGGAAGCCGCTGCTCCAGCCATTGCAATCGCGACGATACCAAAGAAGCGCGGCCGCCCTCCAAATGCCGCTCGGGTTGAAGAATTTGGAATAGCCGCGGCCATTCCAGTATCCTCGGGCGCAAAGAAGGGAGGCCGGCCTCAGAAGCTCGTCTCGGCAGGTGAGCAACTTCCGCCAGTTGCGCTAGCTCGGAAGCGC